TAACAGCGACTTTATGCAATGTTTATATTTCAAATAACATTAATAGTTGGTTTTATCATTGATGATACAACTATAATGAATCAAATGTTAGCCAAATCAAACCTAACTTAATCTGGAACCATAAAGTCGCTGTTAGAACCTACCGCAAAATTGACCTTAACCTTAAATTTCAAAGTAAAAATTTTTTTCTGAATGATGTTATTATTTGATTTTTTGATTATTTTTCTGAATGACATTATTATTTGATTATTTAGACTCACACTGACGCTACGAGTGTTAGTGAAACTTAATCCAGAACCATAAAATTGCTGTTAGCGCGCGGTGAGCAAACTTTTGTACCCTACGTGCCAATTTCTTTTCAAATGAGTTCCGATGCGCTATTAAATTATTTCAACAACAAAAACATGTTTATAAATAGTAAACATATAAGAAGGACATTGGAAAAAGACAAAACGACCCACTTTTCAATGGGATTTAGAACCTGGAGAATTATTTATATCCGGGGGTTAACTCTGTTGTTGTAAGAATTATCGAATTCTTTAAATCTTCGTTAGGTGTTTGTTCTTAAAACTTTGTTCTTCTGTAAACTTTCTGACCTTTGGAAAAGGAGGGAGGTAGAATCTTTCAAAAATTTATCAAATCAACATCACTTGGAACAGGAAGGAGGGTATCAAATTAAAAAAAAAAAAAACTAAGGGAAATTGATCATGACAATATATTCAGTATTTTTTGTTGTCAAAATTTATTCTATGCGGTACAGTTGGACACTCATGCCATATCAGTTTCAAAAAACCTGCATCCTTGAAATCATGCTTCCCTTGTTTCCAGATCTGTCAACTTCGACTTGATAATCTTGTTTTGATCTTCAGCAGGCTGCTGTAGTTTCCCGTATGACTTATCAGCTTTTGATTTCGGTGTTTTGGACTGTAAGCTGTTTTCAGCGAGTTATCGATGCACTCTCGCGCCGGTTGAATTTTGGCTAATGCTGGTGGAGTTCTCGGAGTTCATCATAGAGCGTGTCATCATCAGGGTTTGTTTCAGGACGATGCGCTCGCAGGTCGATGAAGTGCGACGTTCGACGCGGAATTCACCGAACCGAGAGTA